TTCACTAAAAAATGCCCCTTTTCCCCGTAGAAAAAGTGTCACTTCCCTAAAAATTTGCAGAACCCACGTGAAGAAAAATGCCCCCCGTAGAAAAATGACCCCCTGTAGATTAAAGCTAAAATTTTTAGGGGGCAAAAAAAATGGATAAAAAAGCATATTGGCCAAAATGCTCACCTGAGCTTTTTGGGAATAAACTGATCATATGTTGATCTCATAACATTATACAATTATAGCTATATTTTCTTTATAGCTTATATATGATGTTGATCTCATAACATTATGCAATTATAGCTATATTTTTAGGTCAATGCAATGATTCAGAATCTAAAGGAGTAAAAGATTTATCAAGCCTAAAGGGTTAAGTAAATATTTTTTTTTGATGGTGGAAATCATCGAACTGACAGAAAAAATCAGCAGTATTATATATTATTATATTCTCCGCTTGAAAAGGGGAGGGTATATAGTGATTTGGATGTCCGTCCGTCCGTCTGTTACGCTTTGAGGTATCCATCTCTTATCCGCAAATCCTCATATATAAAAAGATGTGTTTGTGAAACAGCTATGCCCCTGTATGGCAACATAGCGAAGATTAAACTTGTCTTAAATGCAATTTAAATATATTGTTACCCAAAGTAGGTCTTCTCACAAGAAATACAACTGCAAAATAGGAAAGCCCTGGCACTACTTGTTCAAAAGTAATGGCTAAGGATAAGTTTTTGAAAGGTAGGTAAACTCAAAGGTAAAGTTGATGATTTTTAAGAAAATGTTTAATGTAACAAGGATTACATATGTGAAGTATGAATACCCTAGTCCTTACCGTTCAAAAGTTATGGCCAAGGTAAAAAAAATCATTATCAAAATCCAAGGTCAAGGTCAATAGGTCAAGGTTTTTAGTATCCAATGAAAGGTAATGCCAAAAAAATACATATTTGAAGTATGAGGGTACTAGTATCTACCGTTTAAAAGTTATGGCCAAAGTAAAAATTTGGCATTTTTGTGTAAAATTAAATGGGATAAACTCCAAGGTAAAGGTCAAAAGGTCAAATTTGGTGGTCCCCAAAGTAAGGTCTTGTCACAAGGAATATACATATTAAATATGAAAGTCATAGCTCCAATAAATGAAAAGTTATGGTAAAGGTTAAGGTTTTTGCGGACAGACAAACAAACCCCAGATAGACAACGGCATCAGACAACACGATAAAACTATATCCCCCCGAATCTTCGACTACGGGGACATAAAAAGAAATGGTCTTCAATTAACTTTTCATATTAATATACATTATAAAGAAGACGTTACAACAATGAAAACGTTTGTTCTGATTTTCATATTAAATTCTCTGAAAAATATCCTCAGAACTGAGTAAAAGGGGGGAGTAAAACAAGAATTAAGGTAGAACCTATGTCGGAAAAAACTTTGTCACAAGTTTTTCAAATTTTCAAAATGATAAATTAGTACTTGCTTATCAATAGTTAAGATATCATGATATGTTTCCTTTTTTTTTAATCTAGAACAGGCTGATAAACTTGGTAGGGTATTGAACAAATGCAAAAAAAACCACCCTACCTTTATTTTTTTTATAAGAAAGGAATTAAAAATAAGCTAAAAATAATCTACTATTCTACTAATTTTTAACTGTTACTTTGCCACAATACTTTCAAGTATACCTCCACCAACATTTAAAGTATGCTTTAATCATGGCGAAGTAAATTATGATATGATAGTACTTGTGTGAAGGCTTAACTTCATTTCGATATTTTATCTAAGCCCCTTTCAGAATTATTGAAAGGTATAGAGTTTTATTTATATTTCTGCTTTTCATTTAAAATTATTTTTTTTTTTTTTTGATTTAACGTAATGTTCTTTTTTTTTTGGGGGGGGGTAAAAATTTTTTCCTCTTTCATTGTCAAATAGGATTTGCCAAATTTAAACAAACTAAAAGTTGAAATGACGGAAAATTTAATTTTTCCTAATAAAGAGTATTTAAACCTGATTTTTGCATGGTTTGATTTATAAAAACAAGTGGAATATCATTTTTAAGCAAACATTATAAGGGGGAATATTAGGGCTCAACATTAACTTTAAAATTAACTAGACCAGTCGGACTAGTAGCTGGAAAATTTTCCTGACCTGACCTCAGTTTTACTAGACCTGACCTATTATCCATGGTTTACTGAATAAATATTAAAACCAAAAAAAATTATCATTAAAGAAAAAACCCCTAGTCGAATAACATTGTCAGTATAACATGTATAAGCAAATTGATGCTTATCATTTAACTTGATTTTGCTGCAAAGAAAATTAAAGAAAATAAACATCTTTTAAAAAATTCAAGAAAAAATCAGAAAGGGAGATGTTTTTTTTTGATTTAGTTCTATGACTGCATGGTTAAATGAAATCACACTATGCAACAGTTGATGTAAATGATTTACAAAAAAGGAAAAATATTGGTAGAGTTAGCATTTAAGAGAAAGTCAAATGACAGCACTATTTTATATGAATTATTGATATTATACTATGGAATAAAATATGTTGGTTTCCTGTAATCATGGTAATATTACCCTAAAACAAGGGTTAGTGGTAGATTATTATTATTATTTTTTTGGCTTAATAAGATCTCATAAATTGACAAAATAAACTTCCAAGTTTAAAACTTTTATTTTCACTTTCCATAATGCCTAAACATCCCGGACTGAACTAACCAGGTGTGATATTTACATGGACATCCATCATGGCTGTCTTGCGGTTGAAAACGAAGTTCCAAAAGTTGTGGGGGATTGCTAAATGATATAATAATGAACATTACTTTCTATATTTAAAGTGAATGTTGATTACGTTGGCATATTTTATATCTCAAACATTGTATCAGCTATTGATTAAACACAGATTTGGCAGAAAAAAAATCCACCGGCAGCAATACAAGAAACAAACGTTACTTTTTTAAAGTTCGTGATATTTTAGTTTGGATAAAAAAAATGAAAGTGAAGCCTGATCGATAAACAAGAAAAATCTGTAAATTTGTTGCAAGTTTTCTTATTTGAACTTTGGTCGAAATTTTTTTACACGACCAGTCGGGATATCATGAAACAAAAAAAACTAGACCGGACCTAACTTTTACTAGTCTGAGTCGGTCACTGCCTTAATGTTGAGCCCTGTAATATTAAAAAGAAATTTTATTTACTTGACAATTAAAGAATCTCTTTTCAAACACAATTTTAGCATTAAAGCTCGTGAATTCTTAATTATTTCATACGACTTTTTGTATTTTTCTGGTTACAGAAAATGTAAAAATTAGTTTCGCTGTAAAAAAGATATCAAAGAGTGTATATTTTGTATCACTTTAAAGGGGGTCATTTTTCAATGGGGGTCATTATTTTATAGGACTAACATATAAAATAATGACCCTGGGCCCTTTTTCTACAAAAAATGATTTTTTTCTACGGGTGGGGTCATTTTTTGTCGTTGAAAAATGACCCCCCGGTCATTATTCGATGGGGGTCATTTTCGTTTTTTACACCGGCCATCCGCAGACATCTTTGATGAGGGGTTATCAAAAAGATCGTGGACTGAGGCTATAAATTAGAACTATGATGTCTGTGCTTTAAAAATTTATAGGGAACATGAAATAACAAAAAAATAGTGAAACTTTTAGTTTAATACGTCCATTAATTGCCAAATTATTATAAAATAAAAACGACATTATATGATCACCTGGCGCCATCGCCGTTAATTTAGTTTCATGACATCCGACAACGTCATTGTTTTTCAATGCCCGCTTTTTCTACCTCATTTAGTTATTTTGATGAAATCAATCCCCTGAGCTCAGAATGCCATAAGCAGCGGCTTTCAATGCATATAAAATTGCAAATGGATTGTTACTTTGGGAGAAGAGATCCTCCCTTGATTGTGCCAGTATTTGCTTTTTGGAGATTTATATCTACAATACATTACCAAAGTTATTTTTTGACATGATTTATTTTTCACACCTTGACTACAAATCGACATTAACTGTGCATCCCCTTCTTCTCTCAATCTATTTTGGATTTAAAAAACAAGTAATTTGAAGCATATTATTTCTCCGTAGCCAGTTTAAATATAGCCTAGATCTATACCAGATTTTCAGTGACAAAACCTTATAGAATGTTATCTTATTTGTTTGGACACTCGATAAGATTTCATAGAACTTCCAGAATGAGGTAAAAATGCTATATTTTATGGAACAATAGTGGCCCAATAGGAACATAGTCGACATATTGAAATTGAATTTTGGTAAATGTTGGCCGACGGTGAAAATCAAACTGCGGGTTAGCGAAAACAGGAGACTTACGTTGATTTAGAACTAAAGATATAAAATGTGCAATTTTAAGGAGAAATTGCCTTACTTTGTGCACTTAATAAATGAAGGTACATGCATAACAAAGGAGGTATAATCATCACCGTATAAGTAGAATCTTTAGCGGAGGATTGTATTCTCTCTCTTTGGCATTACTTAGCGACAAAACCAATATCGCTAAAGTTGAATATCGCTGCTAAAAATAAATTGTGTTGTATTTGTAATAGCTTCTTTAATATGCATTTTAAAATCACCTATATAATATTTTGCTAAAAATAAATTACCAGTTTAAGGACAAATCGCTAAATTTGCGTCTCGCTAAAATTTTCACTTGCACGGATCAGGCCCTCATTGTAAAATTGGAATCTGGGTTACAGCAGTTTGCGCATTTTATAAACCTTTTTTTTTATTTATAAAGTGTAAACTACCCAAACAAAGTTATTCAATTTAAATTGAGTTTTAAATTAATTTCTTTTGAATTTAACTATTATATTTTAGGTGTCGGTCTACAATCAGCTGTGTGCTGGTATACATGCTGCTAAAGTTCGTGTTATTATCTGCAGCTCCAAACGATTCCTGTGTTGTCTTCTTTCCAGAAGAGGCGAAGAAAACAAACCTTCAAAACGTTAGAAAGTAAGGGGTTACGGCAATCTATCTGAACTCCCAGGCATGCCAAATGGTTCAGTCATCAAATTTGACAAGAAATGGAATCAAGAAAAATGGCTATGGATACGCAATGAGTATCGGAATTTTCTGACCTATTCTGAAGATGTAAACGTTTTCAGTTTCGGACTTCTCGGTATCAATATCTCGGCAATCAATATACTTGCTAATGTTAGTGATATCGAGAACTGCACTGCGAATTACAAGACTCATTTCTGAACCACATCAGCACAATAACAATGACGAACTCGACAGATGGAAGCGTGTGTTACTCAATAATTGAGGATAGCTACTGGGAAAATTATCTGAGTAATTATTCGGCTGTATCAATAGGATATGATTTCCTCTGCTTCGATAAAGGAGATCCATCTGCGTCAGTGATAATGCATAAATCTTCTATCAGCCACGTCATCATTGCAATTGTAATAATTGTATATTTGTACTTTCCTATGGTTATGCATTTTTCAGCTCCGCAGGGAGAAGTAAAGAATGCCATTCGAAATTATTATGTATCAGATTCGCCCTACAGTCATCAAAGATTCCTTTTAAATCTTTTTTTTTCAAGGGGGGACACAATGTGGATCCGTGATTCACATATTATTTGTACTTTTTGTTTTTACCATTCTTTTATATATTTTTACTTGGCTTGTGTACGTGGATTGTAATTGTGTTTTAAGGTCATCTAATGTTATTCTTCATTTTCAACACTTAACATACTTTGAAGATTCATATCAATTTAAGGAAGAAGATTTAACTAAAACAGAATTCGTATGGGAATTGCCAGAATCAACTATAAGATTTCGTTATGCTGTGCTTTTTGGTATTTGGAATTTTCAACATATATATCTGAGTATGATTCTGAATGTGAATGGCACATTTGACGATTTTTCTTTTTAATCGATTTTAGTAACATACTAAAAAAAGGATCATTTCTTCGTGCTATGCCTTTGCTTGCATCTCTCTTCCCTAAAGGTTATTTTAAGAATAAACACCAATCTTTTTATAAGATGAGCAAATTTTCTCTGATACTATCTTATCAATTTTGGTGTAAGATTTTATTGATTAAAAGTTTTCGCCCAAAGTCAAAATTAATGAGAGGTATTCTATTGTTTATATCCTTAATTCAATTCCCATTTAATGTTTTTCTTGTAATTTTAAGTACTTTCTGTCCAATTGTGTCGACCTTTATTTCTACATGTTGAAATTCGGATCTTGCTACATATTCAAATATAGTTGTCTGATCTGTAGAAATACTCGTAATCACTTGTATGAAGAAGAGGGAGAGAATGAGCAGGAATCATTTTGTACAATCTGTACAATCTTTTGCTGTGATTGTGAAACTGATGATCCTGGGTGTCTACATAAGTTTGCAAAGAAGAAAGCATGCTCTGACAGCATCTGGATGGGATTTTTTGAATTTTTCAGCCACTTGTATACTCTGGCTTATGTCATCCTTTCCCATATGTATGGAGCTGATTTTATTTTGCATTCAATGAGTTATCTTCTACAATTTTTAATAACTACTACGGTCTTTATAGCCATCCCACATTTAACTTTGCACAAATTAACTCACGCCGATGTCTTTTTTTCATAACAAGCTTGACGGGCTACTTAGGTCGTCATGTTTACTACTTTTACAGCTTTACAAAGAATTATTAAAGATATTTTGGAAATGACGGGGAGAAATATGATAAAAGTTAAAGATTTCCAACGCATAGTGGATGATTTTTTTCCGTTAAGAAATGAATTGTTTTCTCTTGTAGTTAAAATTTTACTGACATCATTGTTTTTTGTTATTGCATTTGATACAATGAGTAAGGTAGGATATTTGAATTACGATGGAACTTTGCCAGACATTTCTACTTTTTTTGCATTACTGTTTTTATTTGGGCCTCCTCGGTTAATGGAAGTATTTTTTGTAAAAACCTATACCTCTAGAGTATATATGAAACACAATGAGATTTTAAATTACATTTCAGTTGATAATTTTGGTGCAGCAAATGATGTTAAAAAAAGCCATGACGAAGTATGTCCAAATCCTACAGAATGCGAATCTCTTCTAAAATCTAGATCATGTAAATCATGTTTCTGTTTTTTTTGTGCTATGATATATTCGACATTCTATTCAATTTCTAAAAAGAAATCTTTCGTAGAAAAAGTAGAAAACACTGCCACAATTTTTAATGTAAAAGAAGAAAAGATAGATATTGACAGTGACACGGACAGTAATATGAGCAGCGACATGGACAATGACATGGACAGCAACACGGACAAAAACAATTGTTCAATTATCTGTTCGTACCTCACAAATTGTATATATCGACTTTTCTTTTGCATGTTGTAACTGTCCGGCTGACATCACATAAAACTGGTCATTGTATTTTCTGTGCGTCTCTCCTTGAAGAGGTAGAAGAAAGTTTTGACCGGAAAAAAATTCGTATTTTCAGATAAAACCGATATAACCAATGATTATTTTATATTAAAAATACCCGCATTGTCGGACAAAGAGAAAACGATGCCGTCTCGTCATAGAGTAATTTATCCTAGTGAGGTTGAGATCACAAGAGAATAATCCTGTATATAGGCGTTGGGACTGGGGGACCCCAAAATATGTGTCAGATTAAATAGTAAAATAGGAGTTGCACAGTGCCAATATGTAATAAAGATTCTGTAAAAATTCATTAAATTTCATCCAGTAATTTTTCTCAAGGTGGAGTTGCGAATAAGAGATGGGTACCCTGAAGCTAGAACAGACAGACGGACGGATGAATGGACATACTGATTACTATAGCTGCCTTCTCCACTTTTAAAGCGGAGGGTATAAAAATGCTCGTTGCAGAACAGCAGAGCTATATTGATTCAGGTGAACATTATGGCTCATGAACCTCTTGATTGTTAAAATTATAATCCAGACTTTCTCAAGATGCAGGGTATTTTGTCACAGTGATTCAATGAATGTTCTTTGATTTATTATTTAAGAATATGGTACTTTTACTACAGTGTACTCAAATTTGTATGCAGTATTTGTAACTCTTTAGTATTATATAATAAAATAAAAGGAATTTACGTCATCTATTTTATCGCTGCTGTTGGATCCTCTTGGTTGGATGAGTGAATGATGTTTAATTTTCCATTTTTACTCATGTAAAATCTTCACCTGCTTTAAAATTAAGTGTCAACATTTTAACTTGCATGGTACTTAGCTCTGAGAAGACTTCTTCGATCGTCTCTGACATATATTGACATGGGACCTTTGTATTATAGATTTTAAGTAGAAAAACTCAACGTTAATTTCTAATAAAATTACTATAGTACTAATCACAAGATGTGAAAATTTACGAATTCCTTATTAAAAATTCTAGATATTTTTTTCTAGGAATTGATTTATAAATTGTAATACGTGATATAGATGCTATAAACTGTTGAAAAAGTGGTTAAGATTTTTACGAGGGTTGTTCAGAAAGTTAATCTATAGGACTTCTGTCATCTTTTTTTTAACCGTTCTATGTCATCCAAACTTGATAAACATATTTTAAAAGTAAATTCAAATGATATCTGTCAATTTTCAAAAATAAATTGCTTCATTTCAAACTTATCCAGAAATAAAAATGCAAGAATAGGATTGTGGCGCAGGTGAAATTATAGTTATTTCAAACAATACACTATATATACACTAAATATTACATGTAATCACATTCTCTTCAAAATGGAGCAAAAACGAAAAAAAATCCTGGACGTTGAAATTAAGAACTGTAACATCGATTCATATTCCAAATTATAGCTTAACATTTTGCTTGGTTGAAAACAAATCAATTCGAGAGAAGATAGGTTATCCTCATTGAAAACGATGACAAGGTAGATATAAATGCAAAATTGTGAAATCTTGAATTAAATATAAAAATGTCAAGGGAATAAAAAAAAATAAGTCACAAGTAGGTCTTGAATGTGTGTGCAGGTGGTACAGGCAGTATTTGGGAGACAGAGACTCTGTATCGGACAAAGACAATAATGTGAGCAGAAATTATGAAATCTGAACAAAAATTGGAACCTAATGGAAAGACATTTTCCATGTCTAAAAAGCATCAGAAATAAACTTAGTGATTGACTTTCTCTCTGCCCTCCCTGCCCTATATCGTTTTATAGTTACTAACGTCTCTGAGGCCTTATTGCGACGTCCCTTTATCGCACGTTTCTATGTGTATATTTCTACGCGTGAGTATACACGAAAATAGTATTAATATTTAAGGAATGTTTTTCAGTTTTCTGTGAGTTATTGGTGTGTGAATCACACAGACTTGTCACGTAGGCATATTTCATGAAGCGCGCTAGCGCTTCATGAACAATAAGCCTACGTGCAAGTCTGTGATTCACACACCAATAATTCACACAAAACTGAAAAACATTCCTTATATTTACATTTTACATGTCTGCAAGCAACTAAAATGTACCTAATATTTGAATTTCTCGCTGGCCTATTTTGTTGCATTTTATTAACGTCGCTGCATTCTCATTGTGACGTCACGTTAACGCACGTTTTTCCATGTATATTTCTACGCGTGAGTAAGAAGTTGGACCGAATTATCTTGCAAACCAAAATGGCAGAAAAAGTAGACGAAATTTTCAATGATCTCAATTTCAGGCCCAGAAGGGCTATTAACAACACTCATAAGGAATGTTTTGTTGTAGAAACAGTGAAATAACATGTTAGGAACACACGGTTATTAATATTTTGAGGGTATTTTTTTAAAAACATGAAAAAAAATCAAGAAACAGCTCACTTTTTTGTGCATAATAAATGTACAGTTTTTTCAATGGGTGGCACTGTAACATCCGGTCTGTTAATATATTTTTTTTTTGGAGAGCAACAGTTCTGCAGCTAGGCTGGTGTACATATTTTTTTCTACATTTGTCATTTTGATAATTGTTTCTTCTTTAATTTTTGATTTCCCCCAGACGTTTGTTATGTCGAAACAATATTCAGGTGTAAAGAGTTACTAAGTGATGCTTTATGACACGGGCACTTTGTAGACTAATGACATAGGTTCAGGCCCTTATCATGCACATCTATAAATTTCGTATTTTAATTCAGTTTTCCATTTGAAAATTTCGTTTTTCTTCAATTAATGATTTTGTTTTTCTTTATTTTTGGTTTGCACTATTGGGCTTCCGTAATATATCCCAGTGAACTTTTATTTACTTAAAAAAGGTGTTAATGATTACTAGTATCTAACAACAAGGCTGTATGATAAACGTGATGACTTTTCTATCGTCACTTTACCTTTTTTTTTAAAATCAATTTTATTTCAATAATATAATAACAAAAAAAGTGGAGGTAATACCTCCACGGAGGCCCTCCTAAATATATTTTCACCTGGGGTGCCAGGAGCTCCCTGGATCAGATAGAAAGAATCATGAGAATCAGAATCAGCACATTTAATAATTGATATAGATGTATATTTAGATATTTACACTTCGATAAAATAAAACCATTGGACCATAGAACCGTTGGAAAAAATACAGTTATATAGATAGATAATATAATATTCCACGTACATTATATAACATTTTCATGTACATATAATTCCAATCTTAATTTTATTTATTGATTTCCTGTGTTTTGATTGGACGAAAACAAATTCAAGAAAAAGTTTACACATCGATGAATTCTTCAATCAGAACTACTTTCTTGACTGTTGTAAAAACAATGAAAACAGCTAGATACTTCTAATCCGTTTTAGCTAAATAATGATTACAAGGAACTTGAAATAAAAAAATGAATGAATGATTGAATGAATGGATGAAAAGGAGATAAACAGGACCGACAGACGGGAATGTTTTGTCACTGTCGGATCACGAGTGTGAATTTTAAAAAATCGCTGACCATGCTGTCATTTTCTAGACGTTCGATATCAGCTCAGTTGGTTGTGATTGGGAAAAGAAACATACCTCAGACTCTTGCCTTTTTAGCATCAAATTCATGTGTTTACATCCTACAGATCCCATATTCTCCCAAAATCTTTGAACAAACCAGAGCAAATCGAGGACGTCGTCGGTCTGCAACTTTCATTATGACGTTGTTGTTAATGTCAACATGTCCATGGTCAAGGACGAATTATTCTGGAGAACACGCGAATTTACGATATTTGTTGACTTAAACAACATTCAATGAGTTTTTATAAGTTTATTTATTGATTGTTTTGAC